GACTGAAAAACTTTGCGTGGCTGCTGCACATTCTCACGGCAGGTGAAAAGTGTGCGTTTATTTACGCACACTTTCATGCAACACTGGTTTTGATACATCTCAACGTGGGCGTAGAACCTGGCGTACGCAACTTTTTTATGCGTACGCACCGTTTATACATGAGGCCCCTGGTGTTTCTGCTGCATCATCTTCAGACATACGTCTGATATGTTCTGCTGGTGTGTGATGTGAGATGAGTCATGTGAGGGTGAGATGGATCATTTACAGCCAATAGGGTGACAGAATGGTTTATGTTTATACATCTCATCCAACCACAATTAAAGGCACTCTATCTGGGACGCTCTGTATTCAGGATCTCAACAGGTTTTTTTGAACGATGACAAGTTAGAATGAAAACAAGCCAAAGTGAAATAAAAATGAAATACTTTTTGCATTTTTAACAAGTAAGAAGTAGAAAGTACAGATAATTGCATAAAAATGTAAGAAGTAGAGGTAAAAAGCAGACTGAAAAATAATTACTTCGGTAAACTATAAATAACCAACATTTCTACTTAAGTAAGGTAACAAAGTATTTGTACATAACTATTTGACACCTCTGACAACAACAGCTTAGGACTTAGGAAGGACTTTGATGAAACTTTCAGATAGTAATCATTGGATGTACTTTTACAACAAAATAACTTCTGGTGTCAATCCAGTTCATGATATCCTCCATAAGTTAGTCAACACAAATATTAGTATAATTTTTGTACTCAGAGGGTCTCTTTAATCAACATGCACAGATTTAACTTTCAGACAGTGTGGTGTTTAAAAATCCATTAAATAATACAATTGATTAACTGACGATGGAAAACGTGTAAAAAGATGTTTTTCTGACCTTCAGGGCATCTGTGAGCTCCTTCAGAATGGCTCTTGTTAGTCTGTTTCCATTCAGCGCCAGGGTCTCCAGATGTGGCAGAGCAGCCAGTGTGGGAAGAAGCTGGAGGAAAGCTTCATCTGTCAGTTCGGTGAAACCCAGCTCCAAGCTGACCACGGCAGACGAGTGACGCAGAAGGTGTGCATTCAGACGCTCCATGTCTCGAGTTGTCAGTGGAATCCCAGACAGATCCAACGCCCCACTGGACAATGGTGCTGACAGCACTGCCTTCAAACTGAGAAAATATCAGACATTTGTTCTGGGTTATTAACAGATAAATCTGTTATTCAACAGTACTTGCATTTTGCTTTATCATTTTTTAAGTGAAAAGAAAATAGAGACAGAGAGAAAAACAGAGAGAGAAGTAATTAGAAAGATAGAAAGATTGAAATAGCAATTAGAAGTACTGTATATTAAATATACACCAACAAAACACAGGACCACACACCCAACATCTGTCCGCTCACCTGAAAAATAAATGGATAAATACACGGAGGGCATATATAAAAATATACACATACCCATACATATATAAAGATATACATACATACATGCCTACATTCATAAATATTGTCAGTATGTACAGGTGCTGGTCATAAAATAAGAATATCATGAAAAACTATATTTA